TAAAACAAACGCTATAACAACGAACGTGCTCAATAATACTCTCTGACTGCAGATCGATTACCCACTGTCCACACACACACACAATGTCCCGTCACGTTGTCACCCTCTTATATATACCAGACCACCCCCCAATCTAGTAAATGCTAGAGCACTCGGGAAGGAACGAGATAGTTCTAGAAAGCAGGTGGCGTGGCAATAGTCACGTGATCTCGCTGATGCAAAAGTGTATTGCAAAGTTGAATTGAGAAAGAATAAACTAGTTTTATTTAAGAAAGGACTTGTATCTCTGAAGTTGCTCGGGAAGAATTTATAGCGGGAAATTAACAAACGAACATAGAGGCGTAACAATATATTACACTGACTAACACAAAGAAAGCAGACAACCTGAACGTTTATGGGAGGTAGACCTTGCTTCTTTATTTGAAATTTACCTCTAAAAAAAGGTTTACATTTCAAAATTACTTGTAGTATAATTTGTTTTAATTTTGAATTATAAATTTTCTCCGTTTATATGCATTTTTAATATATCATTGATTACATACTTGACTGGATGTTGCTTAGCGATCAACGTGCTCGAACCATGATTCCGAAGATTCATTGTTCACTGCTCTTTGGAGCCGAGGGTGTGCTATAAGAGTAACAGTCAAATCACACTATTCTGTCTGACAATAATAACTCAAAAGCTGACGAAGGATACTGTTTACTAGCTATCTTCTTACTAATCATCACTTCAAAATTAGGGCTCCCCAGTAGCACAGCGGTATGTCTGCAGACTTACAATGCTAGAATCCGGGTTTCTATACCCGTGGTACGCAGAGCACAGATAGCCCATTGTGTAGTTTTGTGCTTAATTGCAAACAAACAAACAATATTAGGGACGGCCATGCGTAATTAGCACCTTGTGTAGCTTTGCGCGAAAATTCTTCAATTCTCATTATGAATAATTGATTACATATACTGAAGCCTTGTTCTCTTCGTCAATTAATATGAAAGTAATATAAAACATTTAAACACACAAAAAATGTATACTCGACCTTCGGGTGGGAGGAAAATGCAATTGTTTTATGTAGAGATATTCTAATATCCAGTAGGATGTTTATGCTTGTGTTTGTGCCTATCAGGTTTTATTTTACTTAAGCCATAAACAGTTATGTAAATCTTATGACACATATTAGGTCCGCAAGTCCTTTATTGTGTGATCAGGTAACTGGGTGTTCGAAACATCCAGAATCTTGAAATACCACATTATCTTGATCGAGACAAATACTGATGCCGTCGACCAAAATCTAATTATTCTGGAAATATTTAAAATATTAACCCTCATGCTCTTTTTAATATATTATCCAAGAGACGTCTCTGCAGCTTGGTAAAACTTGTGGCCGAACTGCTAAGAGTGAAATCAGAAAAATATTGATTGATTCAGAGAAGCTCTCTGTTGAATGCAGCGTCTGCCAGCACTTTTGGCAAATGTTCCTGAGTTTCATGTTTTTTCCATCTACACAGACAACTGAACTACAAACTAGTACAACAAATATCGCTGGTCATATCAATCGTTCTTCTGTTGATCAGTCGACCCTGAAGATCCTGGTGGAAATACAACCCGAAAGATAACTTAACTTGATTATTCTGAGATTCCTTAGGGTGGTTTGCTCCTGGATTTATCCTTTCATCAGCTGCAAAGATAAGCTGCGGTAAGTGACTGATCTCTTCCAACCCAATCCCATCTACCACTAGATGGCATAGTCGTCGTTACACAAAATGCATAATGCACCTTGGAATGCCAGAAGACTTATTATAGCTGAAGAGAAATTTTGATCATGTATGTAAACATGAACCTCGTGTGTGAGCGGCCATGAAGTTAATTCACTCGAGCAAACACAAGAGAGGTTTAATATTCAACAGAATGTTGCAGTCCCAGCTGCTTGAAAAAGATTTGATTTCAATTTTGCTCATAGCTATACATGAGGGCTATCTGCGCCGGCAGTTCCTAATTTAGGAGTAATAAACCTACCACACAGAAAAGTATGGTTATTTATGAATTCTAGTGCCACTGCGAATGTCGGTACGTAGGTCACACATCACAAAGACTGCAGAATAGAATTAAACAACATGTACCCACATCCATAAGAACTAAGAGTGTGAAAGAAAAGAATTCACCATGTCGCTCCGATAAAAGAAAAGTTCCCCACCAAAATATGATTCAGAGATTGGCCAACATTTACTAGTGAACCCGACTTATAGCAGGTTTGAAATTATTGCAAACGGTCGGTCGACCTTTCAACCCTATATTTTGAAAGCCACCTTTATTAAAACACATAAACCTGTCCTTTGCCGCAAAAAAAGAATTCATATACAATCTACACATCCTTCAGTAGGTTTGTGACATTTCCTGATTGGCTAAAGTACATGCCAATCAGTGATTGCTTTACCGGCCTACGTCAAACTGATTCATTTTATAAGCTGTACTGTTTCATATAGATCATTTTCCAGATGGTTCTGCTATGATTAGTGTCTGGCGAAAAGCTTCAGTAGATATTTTCTTTGCAACATCTCAACCAACAACTAGTCCAGTTATCAACGCTATTTTCAAGTTTTGAACAACTTGACTTTCAAGATCTACGTATCTACATGAGTCGATGTTTCCATTTATCAACGTTATATTTTAAGATCTGTGCAAGAACTCAGCTGACAGATGTTTCCGCATATAAAAGCTATCTTCAAGTTTTGTACACCAAAAAACGTTTCGAGTGATAAACTAGAGGGAAGGCAGTTAATCAACATCATCTACCGCCAATTCTTGAGCTACACTTTTACCAACGAATAATGGGATTAACCATCACATTATAATGCCCCCCGACTGAAAGGACGAGCATGTTCGGTGATAGAGATTCGAACCCGCGACCTTCAGATTGCGAGTCGAACGCCTTAATCACCAGGCCATGCCAAGCCTTTGAAAAAGGGAACCAATGTCTGTGTTGATATTGATTTCACAGTTTTTTACAACTAATGGAGTAAATAATGGTAGGTTGTCCTTTTTGAAGTTGGCAGAAAATAATTATATGAATCAGGTTTTGCCTCCATCTATCAAAGAAGGTTTAGGTTGCTTCCTTAAGTATAGTTTCACCAGTTTTCCACTTGAAATTTCTGGACCCAGAACCATATGATGCAATGCTTGTTTTATTTAGTATGCATTCAAACATAACTTGGTTTACTTGATCACTTGTCATACAAGAAAAGTTTCGTAACTTTGAAACAACGTACTTAATTTTGAAGTGATAGACAAGAGGGAAGGCAACTAGTCAACATTGCAAACTTGTCAACCCTAATAGTGAGATTTGACCGTTACTCTTTTTTCTGGTGACGGAGATTCGAACTCGCGACCTTTGGATTGCGAGTCGAGCGTCCTAACCACCAGGCCATGCTAGATCTGTAAATAATAATAAAAACACAAAGAGATTAACTATTTTCTGTATTCATAAAATACATGTTTATAATGAACTTATTGTAATACAATGGGCCATGACTGCC